TATGGAAGCAACCTAAATGTCCATCAGTAGATGAATGGATAAACAAGATGTGATACATATACACAATGGAATATTACTCAGCTATAAGAAAAAAACAGATCCTACCATTTGCAACAACATGGATGGAGCTAGAGGGTATTGTGCTCAGTGAAATAAGCCAGGCGGAGAAAGACAAGTACCAAATGATTTCACTCATTTGTGGAGTCTAAGAACAAAAGAAAACTGAAGGACCAAAACAGCAGCAGAAGCACAGAATCCAAGAATGGACTAACAGTTACCAAAGGGAAAGGGACTGGGGAGGAGGGGTAGGAAGGGAGGGATAAGGGCAGGAAAAAAGAAAGGGGGCATTACAATTAACATGTATAGTGTGAGGGGGGCATGAGGAAGGCTGTGCAACACAGAGAAGACTAGTAGTGATTTTACAGCATCTTACTGTGTTGATGGACAGTGACTGTGAACCGGTATGTCGGGGGGACCTGGTGACAGGGGGAGCCTAATGAACATAATTCCTTCATGTAATTGTAGATTAATGATACCAATGTAAAATTAAAAAAAAAAAAGAAAACAGGCTAATGAATGGCTTAATCATTATAGTCATATCAGAGTTGAAAAAATGAATTCTCTTGAAGTTTTTATTGCAGTTTTTGCCAGCAAATAATCATATCACTTAGAAGCTATCCACCAGACTTAAACCTTAAAACTCACATCTCAATTACCCATGGATGAAGGTTTTATGTCTCGACACTGGGTATAGCACTTCCGTGAGGCTACTAATTTAAGACAGGCCACCAGCTCATTCCCATCTGCTCTAACCCCGACTGAGCAGGCCTACCAACAATCCTATCCATCTGCACATTCATTCTGCAACAATAAAACATGACCTGGATAAAAAAACCAACTACAAATATTCTAAACGTTTTAATCTTTCTTTGGCAGAAAACCAGGGAATTTTTATCTTTAAATGAGAAAGAACCAACACAGATTCAGTTCCTCTATGCAGTTCTTGCTTAGTTGCATTTTTAATTTTAGATAAAAATAAGAAAAATATTATTACACAGAAAACATACATCTGGAGAATTACAAGCTAAGAAAATGCAATGAAAAATACATAAGTTTCAGTCCCTTTTCCAGCACTCTTTTACAACTAGGCTTTCTTGGAAGGGAATTCACGAGCTATAATATTTGAGGAGATCCTTATCTGTAGGTTTTAGGATTTTCTTATCTGCCATATTCACCACCCATCCAGGAGCAAGACCGAAGAAAATCTGCCTTGGATCCTTTCGCATACTGAGCATTTTGAAGAGCTCGTCTTTAGTGACATCAGGTAAAATATAGCCATACTTCTTGGCGAGTTCAAGTCTTGCCTCAGGAAATGTGGAAGGGTCTGCCAAGTAACCACGATTCTTTGCATCAGTGTAATATGGTACCAGGACTTCAGGGGGGAGCATTCGCTTTGGAATGGGTTGTCCCCGCAGAAAGAACGGAACGGGTTTGCACAGAATGTCTACAAACATTTAAAAAAAGAGATGTAAATACTAGCTCTATACATAATGATTTTCTTTTAATTTTTAACTGTTAAATATTACTAATATGAGAACTTAATTACAGTAACTTTTTTAAACAAATGAAATGCTTCATTAAAAAAAAACTGCATCTTGGAAGTCAGTTACTCCTGAATTACCAAAGACTAACGAATTTCTACACATAGGTAACATCATATTTAAGTCCCATGCTTAAACACAAAACCTTTTTATGACATAACTGTCTCAAGAATATTATAAGATAGAGCTTGAGTGGCCACATCACTAACAAGAAATCCCGAAACAGAAAACTGAGTTGTCCTAACTGCAAGTCAAACAGCCGCAAGGACTTGTGAAATCTCATATGGCAGCCAGCCTGAGATGACGAGGAAGAGAAGATGACTGCAGAACACGCTCACCCAAACTCCTTGGGTCATAGAAGGCAGTAGTAACAACACCGCCATGTTTTTCAATTGCAGCAATGGCTAGTTCGGAGGCCAACTGTACTTCAATATTAACTTTCGCCTTAAAGGTGTCAGCACCCTGTAATAAGTCAAAATAAAGTCTGTTAGTAGATAGCAGGGCCAAATGTAAATATGGCATGCTTCCTTTCCACCCTGTTTCCTCCTCCAAAGTGCCTACTTTAAGTACCTCTGCTTTGAGGTCCTATCAAAAAACAAGTTATTTTACATTTTTTTAGGTCACCTTGTGTTACTAATTTTCATTCCCTGTAAGCAGGCACAACTATATTTTCATTTTATATATTTAGTAGGTAACAACATAAGCACCGATTCCAAGTACCTCATTAACAGTAGACTGTTTAATACTCATAACCTTATGACAGAACCATTGCTAAACCAACTTCATAGATGGAGACACAAGTACAGAGATATTAGGTAAGTTGCCCAAGATCACAAAGGTAGGATTCTATACCAGGATGTCTAGTCACGGCATTTTTTTTTTCTTGCACAGAATGCTCACAGCAGCTTTATTTATAATTGTCAAAAACTGAAATCACCCAAGTGTCCATCCAAAGAGAATAGATGAGCAAACTGGTGAACAATGAAATACAGCTCAGCAAAAAGAACAAATAGCTGATACATGCAACAGCACAGATAATCTCCAAAACAGTATGCTGAGTGAAGAAGCCTTACATAAAAGAGGAGATAACTGTGTGATTCCATCCATACGAAGTCATAAAATGTGAAACAATGAATCCAAGGTCAATTAGAACAGTGGCTGCCTGGGAGCAGTAGATTGACTGGCGAGGGCCATGTGAGAAATATCTAGGGAGATGGAAATGTTCTATAACACAAAAGGTGTGTGTGGATGTTATACACACACTGAAAATGAGATGGGAAGTCCTAAAAGGGAGCTCTCATGTGCTACTACTGCCACCATTCCCAAATTCCAGCAGAAAGAATAAACCTAGTATTCCACAACAGAAAGAAGCTTGCTTTATACACCCAAGGAGGTCAGGTTATGGCAAAAGGAGGATGATATTTTCTGCCCAGCAACAGCCAATGAGCAACTGTCATCACCCTGAACTTTGTCTACTCCAGTGAACTTTCATTCTAAACAGCCCCTCCCAACTCTCACTTTTTCTCTATAAAAAAATATACACCTCTTCTTCATTCTCCAGGACTTAGGCCTATAACTCACTATGGTTTGCTTATCCTGAATTGCAATCCCTCTACTTCTCCCAAATGAACTCATTTTCTTGGTAGGATAACTGGGGCTATCTGATTTTTTAAAGGCAATTGAGTTATGTCCATTTTTCAAAATTGTACAGCCAGGATCATTGTACTTTTTTTAAAAATTAAAGTATCATTGATATACAATATTATATTGGTTTCAAATATACAACACAGTGATTCAACATTTACCCATATTATCAAGTCCTCACCCCGTCCAGTGCAGTCACTATCATCAGCATAGTAAGATGTTACAGAACCACTAACTGTGTTCTCCAACAGCATCTGTGTTCTTAACTATAACACTGTGCTATATGATACAAATCAAAAACTTATCTTCCCTTTCCCTAAGTGGCCAAGAGATGGTTAAAGAGGAGGCCGACTGGACTGGACCCAGCAAAGACAAACCATCTGACACCACAGTATAAGCTTTGGAGGGATAGGCCCCTCTGGGAAAAAGGCAGAAGAGGACAACAGAAATTCACCATTGATTTTACTACAGTCTCTAAAATGACAAAAAAAAAAATGTCTACTTTTCCCTGGAATGGTCAACACTAAAAAATATAGTCCTGAACTTTCTAAAGTTCTTTCAGGTCACTTTAATTAGGATGTGCTATACAACAGATTCTGACAAAAATTAAGACTGCAGCATTACCATTCTTTTTGTGGTGATAGAAATTTTTTGCTATTTTGGCATAGCTGAAACAAGCTGACTTCCAATCAAGTTCCTTATATTAATTATGAATTTTTAATGTATTTCCAATGTTTCACCATTTCTAAGACACATTTTTTCCCATCTATGACACTGGTCTGCACAGTTATAATCAACACATGAGTCAATAAAATAAGGTCTTTTATTACCTGTGATTTTTAACTGCTATTCCATAAATTGCTTAAGCATGTCCCTATCCTTGGGCACTGGGAGTTAGTTCCAGTATTTTCAGTATTATAAAATGTATTTTTAGGAATGTCTTTGTATCAGTTAAGTTTCTTTTATTTTTCCTAAGAACATATATTCCCAAATTGATAGTTTTGTGCTGCAAGATTCAAAGTCTTATTATCCACTATTTACTCCAAATCTGAAATCCAGAAAAGGTTGACCAATTTATAGAGCTACAAAAATAGAGCTACAAATGATGGGTAATGATACTTACTGAATGACTGCCCAGGTGCAGCTGTCAGGATTATTTCTGTTTGTTTAATAGACACACACCTGAAGGCTGTTGGAATGTGCAGTTTAATGGCTGATGCAGTCATGGATTTATCTATGTTAATTTACACGTGTACTCACTTATACACCCAGAGCAGAATACTGGGGCTTAAGGATGCATTTGGAAAGCTTTTATCCATAGGTTCATTTTTTCAAAGGAATCTCAAAGGATTTTCCATGAACATGTGCTTCCCTCTAGTGGACACTAAGTCACTTACATAGCTGTATTACTGACACCCAAGAAATAGCTGATTAACAATGTTCAAGTTTATTTGCTTATGAAACTCCTAGCCAATTCCTATAAATACAAGACTCCTTACTGCAATTAGAAAATTACAGCATGAATTAAAGTACCTATTCTCACAGAACTATTACAATAAGGAAGGCAATGAAAAATAAATGCATTACTTGGTAATAAATGTCAGTGTTAATATATTCATAGAACAACACTTTGGGTAGGGTAAGGAAGACGGTTTTGACTATGGGGTTGGGGGAAGGGGTGGAAGAGGTGTGAGCGCTCTTTTACAAAAGGATGTCAAAAAAGAATTTCCTGATGTGATGACATCTGAGCAGAGAACCAAAGGGACTGATGGAGCAAGATGAATGGAGACACAGAAGAGCATTACAGAACCAGGATCCAGAGGACCCTCAATGAGAACATGTAAACTTTCTAAAGCTACAAGCGAGTGTAACACGATGGCTACTATGTAATGATTATATGACAACTCAGAAGAAATAAAGGCAGTGTTGATTATATGGAAATTATAAACAGCCTTCTGTGTAACTCCAAAAAATCTAATCCAGACTTACCTCCTCCACCAGTTGGACACCATAATCCCTTTTAAGTGGCTGGATGGTCACACCTCTCCCATTGACAAGCTGAGTTAAGTCAATAGGTTGAGTAGGATCAATTCGACCCAAATCAATCAGATACTGCAATCTGTTGAGACTCAAAGGCTGATACTGGCGTCTGAAGCTACAGAACAAGGAAGTCACAGTTGGAAAACTCAAAATTTATCTTCCAAATCAACTCAAAACTCTGTACTGTGTTTTCTTTCATCAATTTAAATGGTTTAATAAACCCTCGTGAGAAGAAAAACACATAATATTGCTTGATTTTTGGTAATGAAACAAAACAAATATTTTCTTTGTTTCACTAAAAATAATTTGCCTCTCTAAGCGTTTACTTAATTCATTTACATAAATAACAAATTCGTGGAAATTTTAACCCACTATTTGAATTATACATTAATGGAGTTCAAAGTAACACTGGTAGTCATATATTGGGTGACTAAATGGGCCAGATTTTTATATATATTACTGCAAAGCCTTTAAATGCCCACAAGAGCAAGTCTATTTACCTCTATTTAGCAGGTCTGAGTGCAACACCTGGGCCTTTTTCCTACTAATCCAGCCTAAATTCATTACCAAAAATGATTCAGAGAACATTAGCAAAAGTTGCCTTAAAGTGAATTTAAATTTCTACCAAGCTATTCTTTAGGTGACTCTCAATTAAAATTAGTTATTTTTACTTTAAAAAGCAAATCAACCTTACCTATGTCCTTCATTAAACCCGTATTTTGGGATTCGGATATAAAATGGCGTCTGTCCTCCCTCAAAGCCCAGGCGGGGCCGGGTTCCTCTCTGCCGTTCTCCTTTATGGCCTCTGCCACATTTTCTACCTCTTCTACGACCTCTTGGTCTTCTTTCCTACAAATAAGGCGATTTTAAGATCTACAGATGCATTTTTAAAAACTGTAGTTCTCCCTTTTGTTGTTATGCCATTCATTCATCAAACCAACCAGTATTAGCTAACACAACTACTATAGGCCAAGCACGGTTCTACCTGCTCTAACCTCCAAACAATCTAAATCATCATCTTTGCCTCTGAAGACATTGCTAATTCTTGTAATGAAAATCCAGGCTGTGTTTCAAAGGCAAAGTTCCAAAGATGGAATGGGAGAAAGGATCTCACGATAAGCTGAAATTGGAAAAAATCCTAGAATTAAAACACCCATTAACAACGTTTACGTGATATGCAAGAACACTTATTTTGGAATTAACTGTAAATATATGTAATTTCATTTAAAGATTTACCAAAACTTTAAAAAAATTCACAAAGAATTGATGTTTAAATTAACAGCATACCAACCAACACTTTTTCTAGCTGTGTTCTGTGATTTGCAGAAGAGACATCTAACTTAGTCAATTCAAATCTTTCCTAAGTAGATAAAGGTATGCTGGGAAAGTACTTCATTTTAAACCAAGTTTGAATGAGACAATCACTCTAGTTTCTGCGACTTCGCTCCTCCGCCCTAATTAACACACTTATACTTTTATATACACCTTACTACAAAGTGGGAAGATTCGCCTCTGTGCAGTTACGGAGAAACTGGGCTCGGCAGCACTGCGTTCACCTCAACACCCTGGACTACCCACGAACCACCCGGAGGGAGGGCCGCTTCACTGCCCCCGTCCCCCTGCGCGGCTCCGCACCGCCACCAGCTATTTACCGGTTTCCTAGAGCCTGGGTTCGGCTTTAGGTTGGCCAGGCTTACACGAGGTAAAGCCCGGAGCAGGTCCAGGGCCCGGGCCCCACCGCTCTGCCCGAAACCGGCCATGAAACAGCCAGCCAGGACCTCCAAGGACGCTCGGAGTCGCCTGGGATCCCACGTGGCCTCGCAGCGCTGCTCTACGGCCGCGGTCCCGCCCCTGTCGCACTTCTGGCTGGATGCCGCGCGGCGCGCCTGGAGCCTGGACTCTGGCGACCGCCGAATCGACCACGCGGATCCCTCACCGTGGAGCTGCCTTTGGGCGAGGGCGGGGTCTTGCTTTGAGAAATGGTACCCGTACCGCACACGGACCCTGGACGCTTTCTCCCGCCACACGGAAGCGCGCATTGAAACGCTGTGCGTTGGAGACCCTGGGTGCCTGATGGGCCGGGCGTGTGTGGTCTCATAATCTGTAGTCTTTAAGGGGTAGTACCTTCTCTGATCTTAACGAGAATATAGTGACGCTAAATTATCAGTTTAGAGCTTCGCGAATTGCATGCACCCTTGAGATTCGAAAATAATACCAAGGATCCAGCTCATAATACCTATTGCATACCGACCTGTGAATGGGCTTCACACGGTGCGTTCTTGACGTAGTCACCGAGACAATCACCGCTTACTAATAATGACAGGAGCCACGCTGGGCGCTTCCGCTGTGCCAGACGCATATTAAATCATCCTTATTCGATTTAACTATAAGCAACTAGTGGAGGTAGATGTTACAACCTTTTACACACTGAGGGTAAGGCTTGCCAAGGTCAGGTAGGTCTCAATAAGCGGCAGAGCCAGGATTCAAACCTAACTGCTTCCTATTATAAAAGTATTTTTTATAATATAAAATGGAATATCTGCAGCACAAAATACGTAACATTCGCTAAAAAAAAAGAAATGAGCTTCCTTATTTTTCTCTTACGTGAGTGTTGCTTTTTCTTTTATTCTTATATTTCACTGTCTTGCTGGCGCTCTCTTTGTTGCTATTAATGATCACAGAGAGTGAAGATGAGAAATAAAATTTTGGAGCTCAGCTGCTTCTATATTTAAACCTTTTAAAAAAGTATTTTAAATCAAGTATAAAGTACAGAAAGTTTAATTCGTTCCTTTACCTAAGCAATTAGTTATGAGCAAGTCACAGAAGTTGTTACTGAAAAATACACATGGATAAAGATAGGATCTTTCTCCCAGGTTGTTTGACATCTACTAGGGAAACGTCCCAAAACAATATTTTTTTTTAATTAAGTTTTTTTTAAAGAGTAGGCTTATTGTAAACTTAATAGCACAAATACAAGAAAACCAGGTATATGACTTCTATAAAATAGTATTAAGATTAAATCCAGACTCTATTTTAAAGTCCAAAGAATATATAGGAAAAAAAAAATAGAAGCTAGTTCCTGCCTTTATGGGTTTCAGTTCAACATATTTAATCATCTGTCAGAAATTTCATACTTCTAGGAAGCAAGTTGCAATATATGTTGCAAAATGTGCCCTCAGATTCCAAAAGATATGCATTTTTTTTTCGCTATCTGGAAAATATTTGCGTTAAGTAATGAACTTCTGGGTGAGTGTTAATACCAATGGTATTATGGAAAAAATGTGTTGAATAAATAGGTTACAGGAAATATAAAACAATGTGCACACTTCTTGGAAGTAGATGCTCTTTGTTGTGTAGGTTATATAAAGTGATTGGTGGACATCAGCTAATAGTGGAAATAATAATTGTGGTTAATTGTAGGCTAGCTGTTTGTTTATCCCATATCCAACATTGTTGATTAAGCATATAAAACTGACAAAGTAATTTGATGAGTTTTCATCTGTGCTGTAAGAATGTAAATTAAGGATGTGTGATGTATAAGTCATCAATCCTTACCTGAAGCCTATAGAAGTTTTACAACATCATCACTGCCTGATAATACTTAGAAGCACCCACATGCTTGGGGTGTTGTGCTATAATTTGTTTAAATCATGTTGAGACCTTGTAATAAGAAAACATCTCAGCAACTATTTAAGGTCCATTCTGATTCCAGCTGCAGTTCATAAGGACCACTGAATCATTTATGATATAAAAAGAATGAAAGATGGTATAATTTGAAGTCCCTCAGGAAGGCCTCTTCTCAAACACTCCAAATGATCTTCCCCCACCTATTGCAGTGCCTTGACAGTCTGTCTACACACATTAATTCCTTCGAGCTCATTATTTAAAATGAAAATTTTCAAAGTGGAGTAGAGAATGGGAGTGGGGGAAGAAAATAAAAGTATAAATTTGCATGAGGTACTTGGCATGAACCCTAATGATACTACACTATGAAGTGAAGTCTGATAATCTTAACTGTTTCTGAGATTAAAAAATGACAAAACAAAACAAAACAAAAACATGAAACTCTCCCATCTAATCTCCCTAAATGAGATCATATGTTAAATAATATCTTGGCAGGGATGTGCACAGGGAGAGGAAAGGAGTTTCAGTTATTAGATTATTACTGACTTTTACTATGAGCCAAGAACAAGTTCTTTTTAGAATGGCACCAAGAATAGCTAATTTTGTGATGATCCAAGTTGAGGAGCAGAAAACAACTGCAGGTGGAATTTTGCTTAGTGAAGGTGAGAGGATGCCTGCGCAGGAGAGTAGTGAATCCCTTTGATATTGGTAGAAAACAAATACTCAGCTGAGAAGAGGTCATGGAAAGGAGCTGGAAGGAAATGTCACTTGGGTAAAAACTGACTAATTTTATCAAAGTTTGGTCCTGACTTAAAGGTCTTCATTCACACTGTCTGTTTTAATTTTATTAAGGTATCGTAATACGTACACGTTAACAAAAAAAATCAGATCGCACAGAAAGGCCTGTAATGAGAAACAGGAGTTCTCCATTGACAATCACTTTTAATTTTCTGTGTTTATTTCTTCTGGTGGTTGCGTCCCTATTTATAAACTAAAATGTCTCTATCACTACTTGTTTTATCAATTTTGATATTGGATATTCACTTGTCTTATGATAGATGAAGATTTAGATCATTTAAACTATTCCTAGTATTTTAGTTCTCTTATGGTAAACTGTGTGATTGAAATAATGTAAGTACCTTAAATATTTCTTGGATTTTCAACATTCAAAATTAAACACTAGCTCCTCACTGTGTACAATGAAGATACTGACATGCCCAAGCGCTCGCACTCCTTTGCTTCTTCTACTTTCCAACTTCTATTAATTATATATTTTCTTTAACATTGCCATGGACTGTTATGTACATTTTAAATAATCTTTTAGTGTAAATAAGAAGCTACAACATTAGTAGTTGCTCTCTGTAAAGCAATTTTCAGTATTTCCCCCTTTCCTGGTCACAAAGAACTGGCTTTTAGGCTAACAGGTTTTCTTTAACTTTATGATCACAAACCTCAAATTGGTCATCCTATTCCAGTATTTTGAGAAAACTTACTTTTTCACTCTCCATGATGACTATTTTTTTATCTTCTCTCTCTCAGCCAGTGATTTTCTCTTACACTTTAGGAAAAGAAGTCATGAGAGAGGCAGTATTTTTCACATCCCACCACTAAATCCACAATCCTTCCTACCATTGTATTCAGCCTCTATATCCTGTAAGAGAAGGAAATGGTTTTCTCCTGTTAGTAGTCTTTCCACCCCGACACCTGGACTGTGATCGACTCCCACACCTCCTACCTGCTTAAGAATTTAGCTGTTTTGATTATCCCCTGTATTTCTGGCATCATCAATCTCTCCTGGTCTCATTAGCATATAAAATGCTCTAATGTGGCTTGTCTTAAAAAAAAGACAAACCACTTTTCTCCACCCCATCATCCCTCCCTATTCCTCCAGCTGTGCCCATTTATCCTCTTACTTTCACAGCAAAACTCAGGAGAGTTCTACATGGTCTGTCTCCATTTCCTCCTCTTTGATTCATGCATTTTCCTATGAATAACCTCTATATTGCCAAATCAGACAAGAAATGCAAATGAAAACCATGATGAGGTATCACCTCACACATGTTAGCATGATTATTACCAAAAAATCATAAGATATGTGTTGGCAGGGATATGGAGAAACTGGAACCCTTGTGCTCTGGGTAGGAGTGTAAATGGTGCAGCTACTACAGAAAACTGTATGGAGTTTCTTCAAAAAATTAAAAACAATATCCCACTCCTGGGCATATATCCAAAACAATAATTGAAATCAGCATCTCAAAGAGATATGTACACTCTGATGTTTGCTGTGGCACTATCACAGTAGCCAAAATACGGAAACAACCCCAATGTCCACTAAATGACAAATGAATAAAGCAAATGTGGGATATACATATAACTAAATATTATCCAGACATTAAAATTAAGGAAATCCTACCATTTGTGACAACACAGTGGAAGACATTATGTTAGGTGAAATAAGTGAAGTCACAGAAGGACAAGTACTGACTGCATGGTTGGTTCCCTTGTACAAGTTTATCTAAAATAACAAACAACATAAGCAGGAAATAGATTGGTGGTTGTAAGGGCTGGAAGTGGGGGAGATGGAGAGTTGTTGATCAAGGGTTATAAAGTTTCATTTAGGCAGGATGAGTAAGTCCCAGAGCTCTACATTATAACATCTTGCCTATGGTTAACAATACGGTATTGTCTACTTAAAAACTTGCTAAGAGGGTAAATCTTATGTTAAGTGTTTCTGGATAAAGTGAAGGTTCCTATGACCAGGATTCTCACCTGGCCCTGGTCGGCTTGCTCACTACATGCGTGTGGGCAATACGTTCTTATTGACCATATATAAAGAGCTCCAATCAGTGCTCTGGGTGACATGGTGGCATGGCTGCACAGCTGCACAGCTGCAAGAGAGCAGAGGCTGGAGCGGTGGCAGCACCAAGGACTGAAACAAGACGGCCTGGGGGCTGAGAGGCCCAGAGGCAGAGACCAGCCTGTAGCATGTAGACTCCCTCTGAGTGGACAGGATTCTAGTGATTGACCTGCCACCATGGGAAAAACGTTGAGCATAAACCCCTTCACCCCAAGAACATTCCATTGTTATTTTTCGGTCTCACTGAATCCATAGTGAACTTGCCTGAGGCTGAAACCCATTGGCAAGACAGTGTTCTTGTCACTCAAGAAAAGCAAGAGCACACAAGAAATCTTTGGGAGTGGATGGATATA